GCCCAAATTTGATGTAACACCAATTTATTTTTCTGTTTCTTCAATTCTTCGAACATATCGAAAGATAAATTTACTGCTATAGACTGTTGTAAATCTTCAGTTGGGAGCCAAAACACTCAAATTCTCAAAACAACATTTTCTGTCTGTCCTATTTTTTCTATGAATATAAGATGTTCACTTCAATCTCTGATGTATTTTGTTATCAATTATTCCTTCTAAATATTTGAGTTATTATTTATTCACAAATGTAGGCAAAACACACTTGTAATGCCTTTTTTTGGAATGAAACACAATCACTACAAAAAATCCTTAAGGCGCTCTCAGAGCGGTGCCTGTGCGAAAGTACCGATTCACATTAGATTTGAATCGCTGGAGATTGAATCCATTTGGAAAAACGTTCATTCCACATGAACGCAGTTCTCCAGATGGAAAAGTTTCTAAACAGTGAAGTTCGAGAGTTATTGAATTGAACTTCAAAACGATGAGCAGCCACAGTCCGTCACGTATTTCTGATATGTACTGCTCTTGGTGAAATCAAATCTGCCAAGTCACTTGAACACTTCCTGTGAAAGTATCAATAGAAGAGACAAATTTCCAACCTTTCTTCGATGTTTCAGGCTATGATGGTTGCGATGTTCGCGTCTCCATTCAGGCGGATGGCTCTTTTCTGGATGGAATCCAGCAACTTCAAGGTATGTTTGGGGGCAGAGCTCTATACATGAGATCAATACTGCAAAGAAGGTCGAATCTGAGCTTTATAAAGTATAAAAAATTGCTAAGGAGAATCAGCTTTTGCAATTCTAGCGACATGATTGTGCTAAAACATATTGGTGCCCCCAACAAACTTATCGAAGCAGAAAGCGGAATGGTCTGAACTGACATTATTATATCCGGTTCGGAGACATTTATCTTCTTGAAGAGAACCGATGCCTGGGTTTTTGTGGCATTGAATTGAACCTCGTTATTTCCATCCCAATCCGAAATGAAATCTAGATTCCCATTAAGATATGCAACCTCCTGCTGCCGGCGAAGATGTGCATCCATAGCCAACACATAGAACGACGAGACAGACAAGTCTGCTGGCGTCAGCAAAGCAATACACTGGATCCTTGTTTTTTTCAATGAGTCGTTGATATACAATGAAAATAGGGTTGGAGACAATATGAATCCCTGGGGAATACCAGCGTTGATGCTGAAACTATTTGGGAGATATCCATCGTCGTATGGAATGTTCTTTCAGGAAGCTGAAAAGCCACACACAAGTTTGGCCAGCAAACCCTTAGCCACACACAGTCAAAGGCCTTCCAAATATTGGTGACATACGATAAAAGGGCGCCACTTGATCTTTGTTTCCGAAAGCCATACGTAACTGGAAACGCAACTTAGAAAAACACATCGGTCAGAACGAAAGAGGCAACTCCTCGATTATCCTTATTATTGAATTATTGTGATGCACTGTTTGGAACCTTTGGTGTAGTAATGAATACTAGTTGAGTTTAATCCCACCACTTGGCGATTGAAACACGTGTCGAAGTGTTAAAAATAACGGTTTGGTGTTGGGATCAAACTCCAGTAATATTCACACGATATATTGTTTATCGTTTCTTTATTTCAAAAGTATATTCATTGTAAAAGTAAAAAAAAATATGAACAGTATTTCGGTGGATGAAAGTACGATGCAGTAGGTATAAAAGTGAGTGAGTTCAGATATTTAGATATTAATATTGTGCAAGTGCAAGAGGTAAGATTATGTGTTTTTTAAAAGCAAAATTACAAAATATTCCCAAAACAATAGCATCAATTTTGACGTTGAAAGTAATGGCACAACTGCAACTTTTTAACTTGTTTGAAGACACACTTCACCCTGTGGAGTAGATTATGGATGATCCCTGTATACAAAATTAGTCAATTGACCAAGAGCATAGTATTTGCGTTCAGCCAAACTCAATAGAGAATTCGTTATTGTTCATTGTCGGAGAAATGAAGAAATTACTCTGCTTATTGTCGAAGTTTGAAGCTTTTTTCCTGATTTCTTGTACCCCTCGTCCTTAATTAACCCTGGCTATATAATGACTTCAGAGAAACAAAAACACATAGCGGTTTATGAACTTATACAAGTAATATATCAAACACAATAAATTTTGGATCAGGCCCCAAAAAAGCTAGCAAAGCTCTACTTCCCAGTGAGAGTACCAAACCGATCCTTAGCCAGCGTAAGTGACAGATCAATGTCGTGAATGGGAGATTGTTCGGTCGAACAAGTTGCTATGTCTATGCCAATGCGGTAATCATTCTAATTGATAAATATCGTCTCCGAAGGAACCCGAACACTTTCCGAACGCACATGCAGTTGATCTCTCACATACGGTGCCTAATGTCAAGTTGGTTCTGACCGTTGAACCGATCACGATGCGACAAGGAATTGCACTTGCGCCGACACTCATTGATTTGTATAAACCGTGTGGAACAAGCTGCAACATACGTTGATAGCATGCCGGTGCTACTCAGAGCTACAGAAGGCAACGAAAGATTTAGGTCATGTGGGAAATCTAGTAAGAGTGAGCGCTCTGGCACCAGTGGCGTTGCTTGTGTTTGTTAGTGACATCCATTCGCATATACACTACTGTTCAAAGCGCATTCTTATCATGAGCGTTTGGGATATACATATTGTAGAGAATGAAGCACAATCTTTCCATTCTACAAACCATTTCCAAAACTTTGATTCGAGAAAAATAAATTATATAACTTAGAATCAATGCACAAGTTATGCCTTACCAATATGCAGAAAAATATTCGTTGAAAAACTCACTTTCAAACTTTTTTGATACGAAAAGCAGTTTTTGAAATCATCTTTCAAACGATGAGGTACGTTTGCTACAACCGGAGTTACAAGAGTGGTTTGAACACTTTTATAGCAGATGATAACGTATTTGAGATTTCCATAAAACAGTTAACACAAACCAACATGTATTTCACTGTACAATGGTTCCTTCAGTCATGTCCATCCTCTTCATGTAGTGAAACACGTGTTGAGGTTTTGTGACATGTTTAGTGATAATCCCACAATAAGATGTTACTGAGAATAGGTTATCATAGATTTTCAGCAAGTGTGTGTCGATTCTAGCATATATTTGAAGATGATAATGAAAGTTATAATCTCCACAAAAAAATGTCGAATCAGAAGTTATAACCCAAAAAATAAAATAGTATAACGGACAGAAGAAACAAACAGTTAACATACCAGAATTGAAGATATAAACATGAAATGTCCATTGTGGATTTCTCCTCAGGAATATTGAAAATTCATGAGAAAATTCTGTACTCAATTTCAATGATTAAAATGTTTCCGAGTCAGTTTCTTCAATCCATTTGAGAGAAACAAAGCCGCGTCCACCTATGATTATATAAAATTGGAGACGAATTCCATCATTGTAGTTTCTGCCTTTGAGATGATGTTTACCACAGTAGTAGACGAAACGTCAGACATAAAAACCCGTAGATAACGGCCATAAATGCAGGAACATGGCTTTGACACAAATGCTCTATAGTTTAAGCAGAAGAAAAACTATTTTGAGTTTGACAGATGATTACTGAAAAGTCTTTCGTGTCATGAATATGTTCAAAAATGAGGGGACGTCTTTTGATATGATAGCATCCCTAATTTTTTTGTTATGATTTTGTAGTAATTCTCCATACCATGCCCCATAGACATCTCATAGACATTTGAGTCTTTCATTCGGAAATAATTACAGTTGGAGATTATATAGGAGTATTTTCAACGGAATATCTATAACTGAATTATCATACCTAGGTTTTGGTTTCTTGTGATATATCCACTATGTCGTTCGTCGATCAGAGAAATGTGCAAAAACCATTTTACCTTCACAGAATTGAGGATAGTTTCCATTTTCAAATTCGTTGGACTTCTTGCATACACAATATCAAATTATCTTAAATTCAACCAATTGTTCCTTGTCTAAATACCCAGCCACACGTGTCTGAAAAATTATGAAATTGCTGCATGGAATTTATCATCATCATCCCGTTAGGTTTGTCAAATAATACCTGGACTGCAAAAAATGTTTAAGACATTAGACACAATCTATCAGGATTGGCCAATCAAATAAGCACATAACACATAGCAAAGCATATACTTTGTGCCTGCCCGCCGCAAACCGAATCAGATTTTCATTATTTGGCAGAGTTTCACTTTCGCCAACTGAACTGAAATATTATTCAGCAAGTAATCAGCTTTTAATGCACTATTTGGAACCTTTGGTGTAGTAATGAATACACCTCTACAAGTGTTTCGATCACCTAGTGATCATCTTCAAGAGGAAGATCAAACTTGAGTTTGATCACTCCAGTAAAATAAATCGGCTTTGTTGATGAGGTGGATTTATTTGGTTGAATTTGAACTGGTGTGAGCCATATTAAACCCTCGCTAGTTACAGTGGGATTTCGAATGGACCTTCTTACTTTGAACCTCACCTATCTAAAAAAAATTGTGATATGGAATACGCAGCAATTTTTTTAAAACATAACATTTCTTTCAATCACTTTGATTCTAGAGAAATCAATCAACCTCATCTGCTATGAATGAAGATATCATATTCATATATGATTCATATTTGAACGATTTTCCTCCTGTTCTCCTATATACGCTCATTAATCACTTTTATTTGATACCCATGTCCTAGCGGTTACTGTGAAAATGATAAATCGTCATTGTAAGATCGCCATATTGGATTGAAAATGGCAACATAGGTAATCGAACATTGTCATGCAAAAGGAGCATGTCCGGTGGCTGGTTACTCCTTAGTGAAACAATCTAGTGAGAATATGGGGCTCTGTGTTTCGGTGGACGCGTTTAGACGCTCTGCTGACACATCATCCGCACGGCACTGATCTCTGCTATAGAGTATCCTTGCTGGTTGAGCTTGTGCATTGGGATCGCGGTAGCGCAGTAGCAATTCGACAGAGGAGAATCTGACTCGGTACGCAATGGTTTTGGTTTTAGTACACGACCGTGCACTGTAGGCACAAAACAGTAAACATGATATAACCTAAAATTTATCTAATTATCGGTAGTTAACTGTATGTATATACATGTGTATGTATAACTCCAATGCCTATATACATGAATATATATGTGTTCAACTTAAAATAAACCATTTCCGAGCTCCTAAACACTTGTGAAACCTAATAAAAAATGTTGAAATTTAAACTAGCCAGTAACTAAAAGTAATGATAATACCTGTACCGATTTAAAACAGACTTAAATGCAAATCTTTAAAATATCGTTCAGCATTGGCCCAAGATAGCTTCGTAAATTACTCCTCATGGATATCCAGCATTGTCACTACTACCAATGCGGTCCACGGTCCCTGACGCTAATACTTCTTTTACACGTCTGTCTATCGCTACCAAATGGTAGGCATCATAAAATTCTTGGTGTCCCATTTTTAGTTCCTACTTGAAATCATTTCCATCGTAGCTTTTGTGATACCTCTCGCTCCCTTTGCCCATACAACCCTTGTAGATGTTGGTTTTTGCCTTGTCTTGTTGAGTAATACAATGAAAAATGTTGAACTGTTTGCTAGTAGATTGAGTTTGTCTTGTACCCTCTTGATTTGAATGCATAAGTAGATAAAGTTTGTCGTTTATTTAGTTGAGAGTGAATAATTCCGTACAAATGGAATATGCTACTACTTACCAGATTCTATTGACGAATCTTCGAAAAGTTATAATGCTTGAATTGTGTTTTCGACAGCTACATTTATCTTTGTTCATGTTTTTGTGATGATGCTTCCAGTTACTGTTAGTTACAAAGTGATAATTTATAGGTGACAGAATGTGATAATTTCGTGTCAAAAATTAATTTATCAGCTGTTGAACTCCAGCTATAAAATTAACGTGCACTAAAATTGCACGTTATTTTAACGTATCGAAAACTGAAGTTTATTACGTTTTAATGAAGCTGGAATATGCAGGATGAAATTCGATTATCGCTTGTAAAACTTTTCCAATCTTGGTATAGATTCAGGTTGTGAATCTGCAAATATTACAGGATTACACCTGAAATGCCATAGTTTCAAAATGTAGTATTTGAAAAGGTTGTACATATAGGAAGAAATGTTTCTAAAAGTAGGTATGTTATCAAATCTTTCTCATTCTATAATAATATTTCAGGTATAAAAAATATTATCATATTGAGAAAGTGTTTACTGAATGTATTCGTTGAATCATATAAGATCATAGTTATCATTCTTTCATCATTTAAATTTCAAACACATAAGATACTACAGTATATTGACCAATTACCGAGCCAATAATATTTATTTCGGAAATACTAACATTTCCAATGATTCACTTGTAGGTATTGGAAAACAGTAGTCATATTACATTAATGTGTCAAATATTATTTTCTCAATAATTAACTTGATTTGATGGTCTACATATGTTCAAATCTAATACTAACAGAAATCACAGAACGTTCACTTCTTAGTTTTCGTTTGTTGAATTTTCAACATTGCCACTAATGATTTCTAAAAAATTGTGTGTTATTTGACACAAAGTGGTGGCCAAAGTGGTTAAGGCAAAGAAAAAAATGGAAAACCTAACTTTACGCTCTAGGACAATTCAACTTTGAATTAACTAAAAAGGCAATGAAGATCGACAACCCAAACTATTCAAGAATTTTCTTACTTCTAGTCTCGATCTCTTGAAGAGAAATTCAGATTACACACAAAGTACCACTCTAATTAACGTTTTGAGACTAATTACGGTTTGCATTTATCGGTTTACTGACATATATCCGATAAAAAAAACTATATTTCTCCAAAAGTTCACATTTGTTTTCGAATGTATACTTGGGTATATTTTTTATGTATAGAAACTAACGAAGTCGTAACTTTGATCGTGTCATGAAAACGTAAGAAATGTCAATTTGGTTGATACTTTTTTTCTGGAAATAGAAGATCTGCAGGAAAAAATCTTTAAACACTCCGAAAGCGTAATTTTCACAAGATCGTCGTTCTCTAAATGAAAGATTTCTCAAAAAGTATATTTCGAAGTCTGTCAAGGTGAACTTCGGAGAGGTGGTACATGTATTTGACGTTTACTTCTGATATAATATATCGATCTGGGTGAAATTCAACGAAACAAGTGGGAATAACACTTCCCCTGAAAGTATTTATAGAAAAAGAAGTCCCTTCCTTTTATGTTAAATGTGCGTGACATATGTAGATAAATCTTCTGTTGGTATCAAGCAAATTCCACTTGTTTCAAATAAAAACCCAAAGATTTCACTTTACTTCTCAATTCAATTCCTTTTGTCTATCATTTTTATTAATTATACCCAAATAAGTTTTATCAATACTATCTTTTCGGTCTCGACAAATTATATCGATACTGCAAGTTTCATAATAGTTGAACGAAAAAGTGAATAAACATATCTGTAACATTATTCCTGCTAAGTACTGTCTGCCCTTCGAACATTTTTTGAAAACCCTACGTATTTAGCTGAATAAATGCTTTCCACGAACTGTCAATGCACTGTTCAGAATTGTTTCTATCGGTAACATGAAGTGGTAGCTTTTGAGTGAATTGTGTTTCAAATATTTTATTCCGTTATGAATGTTTGGTGGAACAACTGAATGAGAAAAAGTTATTTTCGAGTGATTCAATATTAATAATCAAAATGGTTTTTTCGAATAGATTTTCATTTGAAATTTTTCTGAAAAAAACTTTTTTTTGTATGACTCATGCATATCTTTCAAAAGAGATAAAATATCTCTTTTTGAATAAACCGAATATGGAACTGATGGCTTGTGTTTTCTAGTTTTCAGAAAATTTCTTATTGCTGTTCAATTTAAATTTTAAATATACAATCTGTTCGAAATAAGAAAGGCCAGTATGGTGAAAGCGGAAACCGTAAGAGATACAAGTTCGATTTAATTAAAGAAGAGTTTTCCATTTCAGCTCATTTGAATGACGTTTAAAATTCAAAAAACAATGATTCTGGTGATACATCAGTGAAGTTGTTAAAAAGGCTAACTCATATGGATTATTTTCCGAGAGAAAAATCAAAATTGGTGATGATATCTTTCTTCCTAACGATAGAAAACCATTAAAAACAAATTTGCGAATTTCGTTTTTTTAATATCTCCGGTACTATTTTTTTTAATTATTCGAATGAACTCTAAAATCTGATAATCCAACTTTTATGTCTCACAGTGCCCAACTTTTCCTTATTGGCCCTCATTATCTTGGACACGGAGCATATTACAATGGCATCATGTGAAATTCCTTGATTACATTTCATCTCTTTGAGGCTTAAACTGAACACTCAATTGTAATTTTCGACTCAAATGTCATTTGAAGATACCATACTAATTTTATAATATGATTCGCGATGTCTTTTGATATGCTATTATTGTTTCTTTCATTAATAATAATTCTAGTTCCGTTTATAACACTATTATACAATGTCAAACTTCACAGGGCATGTTGACTGAAGGAAACTAAAAATTTTAAAACTCCATTTTTAGGTGCATCTTCTTCATTCATAGATATTTGAAAATTCAATTCAATTTCGCCATGGAAGCTTCTTCAAAAGAGCTATCAGAATCTGTTTCAATGTGTGTCGACCAATTTGGCCAACCTCAACTTAGAACTTTCAACGTTAAGGATAATAATTCACACAGACATACAGTTTTTCTTGATATTTTTGAACTTTTCGTTGAAGTAATTTACCACTAGTCAAAACTACAACTGAAACCGCATGAAAAATAAATACGAAAGAATAAAGGAAGAATAAGGAAAAATTGCATATTCAAAAATATGAAATGAAAAATCCAATATGTTGATGTCGGTTTTGAAGATACTGTGGAAACGCTCTAGTATTTATATTATTTTATCACGAAAATACTTCTTTTATACACCATAACTCTTTTCAACGTACGTTTTACCAACTAATTTGGTGTCATCTCGGTCTGCATACTCAAGTACAGATTATCAAAAAAAAAATCGCAATCTTTCAAGGAATTTTTCTGCTCATATTTGTGGAAATGATCACTTTGTTTCGATTCATATGTTACAAAAAAGAATTCGTTTTTTATATGATGAATGTCGTGGATTTAAAAATCAATATGTGAACTTATGTATCTTAATCAACTCATCAATTATATGTCTTTGAAGAAAAGCCGTTGCTTTCAGCAAAGTTTATGATAATACTTTTCTCAATATCGCATCTTCCTTCTCTCATTTTTTGTTGTGAACATTGGTGAGACCTGTCAAGAATATCAGAAAGTACCACTGACATTCTTCTTATAAACAGTCAATTATAAACTCTGGCCATTTCTGAGTTTGTTATTGAGAGTCGACCAAAATTCTCATTTTTTTGTTCCCACATTACATTTGTCTATCTGTTTGAATGGCATAAACTCGAAATCTACCGAACGGAATTTTATAAAAATTCCCCAATGGACGGACTGATTCAAGAGGAAGGTTTATGTGTATAATTCAAATATATTTTGTAAACATTTGTTGAAATATGACGATGGTATCTATCCGGCCAACTTCCATAAAAAATTATCTCCCAAATATAATAAAACAATTCATTACATATTGTTAATTTTTTAAAGGTCTACGAAAAAGTCAGTGATGGCAAAATATATCTTTTGAGGATGACTTACTGAACAACGTTTAATGTTCAAAGTATTGGTCACATACTAAGTGGTAATTAGATATCCTCATGAAATTGAAGGTGTCAGTTACTTTAGGCATTCCGTACATAACATAATTGGCCTGTAAACCATATTGTTTGAATAATATCGTGCGGCAAAATAAACTCAAGCAGCGTCGCATACATATGCGAGAACCCTGATGGGGAACAATATCATTGATTTTGTTTCACGTAGTGAATTACTTTGGGGATTGAAGACGCATTTTTTGTTTTGTGTTGTCTTAAGGTATAAATTGAAACTGATAGTTGTGAACACGTTTTTGTTTGAGTGAATGTTACAATTTCATACCATTTTATATCATATTAGACAATGGAAGTCCGAACTACTGAAATTCACTTCCTCAAGCATGAACATATGCTTGAGGAAGCTATTGTATAGCTAAACACGTGTCGCGGTTTTTGTAAAACTCTTTTATAGTGAAAATTATACAATAAACTGTATTGATTAGTTTTTCAATTGATTTTGCGTTGAGAACTGCAAAACATAAGTTACGGTCCTGATTTCTCAAATTTTAAATAGTTATTATTAGTAACTAGAGATTACTATATGAAATCTGTGAAGAGTCTGATCTCAATTATGCATCCAGAAAAAAGCATGCTGAAAGTTTTTTGTAAATTTGAGAAGAATTTGTTAAGCAGTAGAGAAAAAAATTTTCAACTGAGTTACATGATTTGTTAGCAAAAC